GGGCTCTGTAAGATACCTGTGAGGGAAAAAAGGGAAAAGATCACACCTGTAGAGACATGTTTTGGAACCAACAGAAGTAACAGTAGAGGAACTTAGAGTGCTTGGTAATTTACAGCTGCGGCTATGCTGATCAGGTGAAGCTCACCCAAGTATGTTTAATTCATTGATGTTGACATGACACAGGGGTGTCTCTCTACAGGTTAATGTAACTGTGCTAGCGTCCTGGTCCAGGTGATGAAACATGATCATCCATTAGTACCTAGTAATTTGGTGTGCCTTATTTGAGACATCTGTGGTTTGAAGTGCCAGAGTAATTAGCATTTTATAGTTGTTCAGAACATGACTCTCATTCACTGACAACTGCACTGCTTTTTAAAGCATTTTACAAGCAAATAAGACTATATGCCTCACAGTGCTCAACAAAAAATGTGACACATATATTTAACACCCACCTTTGAGAAAATTATGTATTGCACACTTCATGAGGAGGTAGGAATAGATTCCAGCTCTGCAATGCTAGCCTTTAGCTGATGAAACCACAAAATTATCCCTTTTCTTCCTTCTCCCCCCACGCCGGGGCCGGTACATATTTTCCACTATATGTTGCAGAACGGATAGATATCTTGTAGCTCACATCCTGCTCCATCCCTTTCACAGGATGACAGGGTGAATGTGTAATTCTGGGAGCTTAGATATCCAATTAAAAAAAAAAAAGTATGAGTTAATGTCATTAAAGACTATCATACAATTGTCCATAGGTCTTAATTACATTTGCGCAGGTGGTCTCAATTTTGCACTTTGTAAATGCTGAGTCTTTGGCTTTCCAGTATAACGTTTCTTATGCGCAAAATGTTTTGGTGTTTGACTTCCCAGATTTTTTCCTTTAAACAAAATAAAATAATATAAAATAATAAAATGTAATAAAAAGGGCAAGTATAATAAGTAAAATTAATTATATTTAATGAAAATAAAACTGAAATTCTATCATATGACATTATGTTGACATTCTCATACATCACCAAAGAGCTGGAACCTTTAGCTTTCCCTGACATTTCTCTGCCACTTGAGCTAACAGAGTGACTAGTGAGAAATTCTGGTCTCCATTCTTAGCACGAACCAAGACATAAAGCACACGTATGATGGGTAGGATGCTTTGCAGAGAGCACAGACATAGAGCGCATCCAAAGTTTGGGGTTCTGCCCCAGGCGCCGAGAAGAGTTTATTGCCGCATGTCTGCAGGCAGTCTCTGCAGTCTGCCCCTTGTCCCACTCTCTGTCCTGTTTGCTCTTGCTCCCAGTCTTCTCCAGGAACATTTGGGGACACATCTCAGGCCTAGACATCCTCCCCGGTGTCCTTCACCTCACTGCCCTTGCCCCACTGCCTTTTCCTCCCATGCCTGATTTTAGGTCCAAACCCAAACCCAGTTTATTTCAAATTTCTTCTTTCCTTGCCGCCTTTTTACCAGCCTCCTGCCTTACCCTTTTCACCCCTCAGCCTGCTTTCCCTCAAGCAGTAGCACAACACCAACCTGCAGCAGAAATTGTGAGAAAAGTCCTGTTTGACCAGCTCTGGGCTGGAGGACGCTCAGTGCAGAATATTCACCGCAACTGGTTGCAAATATCTAATAATCGCCACATGCCAGACTTTTTTGACGGCTATTATCTCAATTAAATTTGGGCTTATACCCACCAACTTGGCAAAGGTTGGTCAGTATAATCCATCAATGATCTTGCAACAAAATCAGAGAAGCTATAAACAGGGTACTCACAGCTTTAGTAACTGACAGGAAACGGTCGTAGCTGATAAGAACAATGTTAAATACTGACGCTGAGCACAGGAGATAGTCCATAGCTAGCCAGAGCTTGCAGAAGCCTCTTCCCAAGTGCCATTTACCCGTCAGGCTGTAAGGGATGTAGAGAGGCATGCAGAATGCACCTATGGAAAGCAACCACAGAGACACTACGCAGTTCATACGGATTGCAAACAGTACTCCTGGAAGCAGAGAGAGACACTGTTCTGATCTTTGGCTAAAAAAAATAAATCTACAAAGGTGAATATGTAATTTATATACAGAAATTCTTACATTTTCATTAAATCTGACGGTGAATTTCTATGTATTAGATCTTGGTATATTTGGGTAAGCTGATTGTTGGGAATAAGCTCAGGGCGAATCAGCAAAGAAGGATCTGATGAAGAAGAAAACTGCAGTCTAACCAAGTTACAGTTTCTAAAGACAGATAATCATTGCTGCAGCATATACGCACTGTGGTTGTGCTCTGACATGTAACCGCGTCGCTGTATATCCTCTAGTCTTTTACCTGTGTTAGAGTTTTCCCCCAAACACATCTGCAGATGTTGCTCATGTCAGTTATTAATGTAAGATTGGTTAGCATTTGTAAGCTAAAGACAATATATTGGACAGTCTGCGTGGTATCTGGAAACCTCTTCTACTAAAGACAGAGCAAACGCAGCAGAAGTATGAAACCCTCTCCCACTTTTAAGAGGTGTTTTAATCTCATGCTAGTTCTCCAGCTGAGATTAACTCCAGAACTATTTTTTGGTTTGTTACATTTGCTTTTCCTTCAAAAGGCCTTCCGCTGAAGTACTTTTATAAAAAAGTCATGTGTGTGTTTTATTTTTAAGCCAGCGACTTCTTTATTTTACCACTACATTCTTTCAAAAGTATGGTGCAATATCTGATGCTACATTCCTGAAAACGCTGATCCGCTAGAGACAAATACAAAATTATGTGCAGCTTCAAGATCCATTTTAAACTCTTCAGATTATTCTTTTTCAATATGTCCATCAAGATCTTAGAAGTTACTGAACATATCCAGGCTGATGTGGCCCACTGACAACGATCCTCTGGGCAATGAGCTGACAGACTGTTACCAACAGCCAAATGCACACAGCGCTTTCAATACTGATGGTTTGTTTTAACATATACCTTAAATACAAGCAGCATCACTTTTGTACAAAATACTCATTTTTCAGAGTTGCTGATGACAGCTGCTGCTCTCATCAACTTCAATGGGATCAATGTTTGGCACTATGTCAAAAAGTAATGACTGCTTTTAGCTATAGATTAAATACAGAGGCAAGAACCAGGTTTTAAGCATTTATATTTGAAACTATTCCCACTTTTACTAATTAGAGGATGCAAAAGACATGAGTCACATGCCTGCAAAGATTCCAGACTGCTAAGAAATTAAAAAAATACCACAGCAGCTTCAGAAAATAAAGCATTTTCTGACTGATCCCAGAGACAAAGTCCTAGATTTACATGGTCTGTAGGCCAACATAAAACTGATAACAATCATTTAATTTTGGCTGATTTAAGACTCCATGAGGCACCAGCCACAAACAAGAACTGATGTAGAAGGTAGATATTTAAATCTGTTGATTAAATGGTAAGATATGAGGAGAAACAGACTTTTGCAGAAGACCTGAGCAACGAAATGGCAGCTTTAGCAAATTGTCTGCCCACAGCAGGAAAGCAAAGGCTCCAGCACACGTATCATTTGGTTTCTGCCCCATGGGGCGAGCCCCAGAATTAGGGACCACAAGTCATAAATGGCATAAATGAAGGAAAATCTTAAAGGCTAAACTGATACACTTCACTGCACAGCACTGGCAGAGGAACAGCAATTATGAGGGACAGTATTGCCAGAAGCGGAGTAGGTCGATGAGTGCTATTTCCCTCCTCATGATTTAGTGAATACTGGTCTCTGTGACTGTCCTGAAGAGAGAGCACTTGTGTGCAGAAATACCTCCTTGCTAGCCTCAAGTCAAGATGTTTGCTGGAACATCTTCCACAGGACCATGGTTTTGTCAGGCTTTCTCTGATGCACGGGCTGTCTCCCTGGCCTGAACCCTGAAGGAGTGCTGCACAAGGCATTCATGCCCCCCACCTCCTCGCCTGGCATCACCCGCCAGGACTGGGTCCATGGCACCTCCAGGGGCCAGCTCTCCTGGGCTTCTGCAGTGACACTATGGGAAGAGGGGACTAATACGGAAAACAGATGGGAGATACCAGCAGGCTGTTGCTGGCACCGGGCAAGCCATCTGATCTTGCATTGAGTTGAAGCCAGTGAAAAGCCGTAGTGGTGAAGTGTTTTGTTGTAGTGTAATACACTCATAAGCCATTAGTACTACGTAGAGAAGTCATTCATTTACCTGGACATACCACAGATAGCTGAATAAGAAAACAGTTACACTGTCAAATATAAGGGTGTTCTGAAGTGTGTGACCGTACAGGAGGAACAAATGTAAAATCATAAACTGCAGCAGACAACCTCTTTCCTTCAACTGGTATTCACATACAATAGTTGCTCCTTTTTCCTGACACAACATTAGAAGTATTTATATGAAAAAAGGATGCATTTCTCATTATAATATATTTTGAGACATAATAGGCTGCTAAAACACTTAATGCAGTTTCCACCATTCCTTACCCTTCCCCTAGACACACAGCTGGGAAATAATTCTCGTAGAAGAAACGACCCAGAAAAGAAGCCCCCTTGCTTCTCCTAAGATTTCTAGGAAACAAATAGTACGTGCCTCCACGGCTGCGACTTACCCACTGCAAAGTCAGAAATAGCAAGATTGAGAAAGTAATAGTTACTCTGATGCCTGAGGTTTCTGTCCATGATGAAAGCGAGGATCACCAGGACATTTCCGAGGATGGTGACCAGAGCTAGCAACACCATGAAGAAAGCCAGCAGCACCAACACGCCCAGTGAAAGCTCGGAGCTCGGTGGCCGTGCGGACAAAGTCTCGTTACACATTTCAACCGTATGCGGAGTTTCGGCAGTGCCGTTGTGCATGTTGCGTATCCAGGTCAGTTCAGTCTGGGAAGAAATTCACATCTGGCAGTGTTATCCAAAAGGTTGAGACAAGTCTATTATCAGGATGGGCTGAATACTGAGATATCCAAAAAAAATCACAATATCAAAACAAAGAATCACAAGACTTCAATGTCAAGACTCTAATGTTCCTTGATCTGAATGCACGTATTGGCCTGAAAACAAAATCTATAAAAAAGACACCTCATAAGCAGCAGTAAGTGCACACTTTAAAAATAAATTATCTCTTTCTCTCCTGAACGCTGATCCTTATCTACTGAGGTCAGAAAAGTTAGTCTGAAAACAACTCTTTCCACAGTCAAGCAGTTTGCATATTAGCATTGTGTAAGCATTTTTACACATTGAATTCTGCTGAAGCTAAAAACAGATCTCATTTTCACTTCCCCAGCGGTTAACAGGATTTAAATTATTACAATTCTATCTCTCCTACAGTAAAATGTCAGCATTGTTACACTTGCTGCTATACCACTTACTAAATTTTACAGTTAAGAAGAGAGATGTATATTTCCTAATGCTGCTGATTACAGAGCATTTAAAATTCAGTCATACACAGCAAAAGTATCATCAATACCTTTTCAGCTCACCCTAATCAGAAGCAAGTCTAGCCCTGGGCACAGCAAACCAAATACCTGGACTTTGGAGGACATTTTAAGTGCGGCCCATCTAATCCTCCACTTCCCAAGTAATTCCAGGTAAGCTGGAAGCACTCCACAAAGTGCCAAACCCTTGGTCCTTTGCGAGTGTGAGAAGGCGTATCCCTTCCTTATCACAATTTCATTTATGCTGGTAAGAGTGCACAGAAGTTGGCAGGCCATGGCTGTGACTCATGCCTGCAGCTCACCGGCTCCGTAGCACCGCAGCTCACCCTGCGACCGGCTTTTCAGACTGCAGCCGTAATGCTGGGTGCTTGAGAAGACGTAGGGCAAGAAACAAGGAAAGAGAAGGCGGACAAGATGTGGGGAGGGGAGGTGTGGTGTTCTGATCCTGTCTTGGGGAACAAAGGGAAATGTATTGTAAAGAGTAATTAAAGCAAAAAGTGTAGGGCACAGGAACAGACGAGACCTCAGGAATGATAAAACATGGCAAACAGACACCTGCCTCGGGTGCATGTGCACAAATGCAGCCAGCAAAACACACAGGAGGAACTAGAGCTCCCTGTGCAGTCACAAAGCCACCAGTCATGAAGCCAGTGACATAGTGGCGGGAGTGTGTGGCAGAGCACCCCGATCAGGGTGAGGGAGGTAATGAAGTCTTTAAGCAAATCAAGGAAGCATCTGGATCACAGACCTTGTTTCTTGTGTGGGACTTCAATGTTCATGACACCTGCTGGAAGGGCAACACTGCAGGTACAAGCAGTCAACAAGATTCCTGAAGGGTGTCAGGGAGAACTTCCCGATAGGAGTACTGAGTAGGCCAATGGAGGTGACACACAGCTAGATCAGCTGTTCACTGGTAAAGAGGAGCTGGTTAAGGATGTGTAATCATTGGCAGCCTTGGCTGTAGTGACTATGAGGTAGTGAAGTTCAGGATCCTAAAGGGAGTGAGGAAGGAGAGTAGCAGAGTACAGACTATGGAGTTCAGGCAGCAGACTGGTTTATTCAGGACAGTTGTAAGTTGGATCCCATGGGAGGCAGCTCTGAAGTGCAAAAGACCTCAGGGAACCTGCAGGCTTTTAAGGACAGCAGCCTCCATGCACAAGACAAACCCATCCCAATTCTCAAGAAAACAAGTAGACGTATCAGGAGACTGGCTAACCAGGGAAGCTATAATGCAAAAACGCAGCATGGAGGAGTTTGAAGCAGGGACTGACTACAAAGGAGGAATTTAGAAATGTTGCCTGGCTACCTAAGCATGATGTTAGGAAAACCAAAGCTCACCCAGAATTGATGCTTGCAAAGGACATCAGGGACACCATGAAGAACTTCAGCCACCCCATGAATAGTAAAATGCTGAATAAGAAAAATGTAGGCACTTTGCTGAATGGGGCCAGTGACCTGGTGACGGTAAATGTGGATAAGGCTGAGGTACCCAATGCTTTCTTTGCCTCATTCTTCACTAATTAGGTCTCCCTCTCCTCCATGCTTAGTGAAGGAGTTCAAGGAGGAGACTTGTCAGGAGCAGGTAAGAATAACGTAGGGCTTAAAAAAAAAGTAAAGCCTTTGACACTGTCTCCCA